CGTTCCCGAGCCACGTCCCGCCGTCGCCTCCGCAAGCCCCCACCCCCGTGTTTTATAAAAAGATTCNCGCCCCGCGTCCCGGCCGCGCCCCGCCACGTTCCCGAGCCACGTCCCGCCGTCGCCTCCGCAAGCCCCCACCCCCGTGTTTTATAAAAAGATTCTCGGACTTTTCCGCCTGGTGCCTGCCTGGGGCGGGGGCCGGGCTGGGCGCCCCCGCGTCCCGCCGCGCCGCCCCGCTGCCCCGCGCCCGGCCAGCCCTGGCCCCTCTTCCGCCGCTGCCCCAGCTCTGGGCTCTGCGCTTTGGTCTGTGCCCCGCGCGTCCGGCTCTTTCCGGCGCTCACACCCGCAGACGCCTGCCCGGATCCCGCCCCCGACCACCCTGGCCTGGGGGTCCGCGGAAGGATGGAGTCCGGGAATCTAGAAGCCGTGGGTCGGCCAGAACCCCATGCCCGTTCAGCTGGGGGCTCTTTCTCGTCGTCTTCCCCGCCCCTTAATCTTTTCCTGGGCGGACTGTGTAGTCGCCTCTGACCCCGTTCTCTCGGGGGCCCGTGGGGTCCCTGATAAACAGTTGGGGAAGGGGTGTCTTTGGGGCCGGGGGCACCACTCGGTGTCCCAGGACCATTGAAAGTCGAAGGGGGGGTACGTGGCCCTGGGGGAGGGTCTGTTGGGGCAGAAACTGAACGAGAAGAGCTGAAAGCCGTGCACAGCGGCCGGCGCTTTCCAAGAAACACCAGGGATGCCCCCCCCCCCTCCCCGCCCCCGGCCCTGCCAGCGCTTTGGCACTGACCCCGCCGCCCTGGCTGCTGCTGTCACTGGGCGCCAGGCCCGGACGGAGAACAAGGAGGGTCAGGACCCCCGACCGGGTCTGGCCTTCGGCCTCTCCCGTCGCTCCCCGTCCCCGTCCCCGTCGGCCGTGTCCTCTCAGGCCCCCTGGACCCCAGGCCCCCGCCCGGAGGAGCTGCCCGGCTGTACCTGCAGGTGGTCCTGTCCGGGCCTGGGGCCTCAGGGATGCTACCTCCCTGCCCGCCCACCCGGGCCCTTTTCAGACCTCGGCCCTGGCCATGGGTCGGGGCTCCCACAACCCCTGCACCTCACGGGCTTCCCCCCAACCCCCTACGGGGTCCCTTCCCTCCTGCTCTGACAGCCTGGTCCTCCGCCCCCTCCCCTGCCCCTTGCCCCGCCCCCCACTCCCCCAGAACCCGTACTCACTCCCCTAGTCCCCTCCCCTCTCTCGGGACCCTGTCAGGCAGCCGCGCCCCTGGGGCAGGGGACTCGTCCCAAGCTGGCTGCCATAGAGGCTTGTTCCCGGGTCTCATTCGGGGGCGAGGGGGCTGAAGGGATTCCATCCAGGGGGAAGGCTGGTCTCAGGACCCCAACGGACTACCCCTCCTTAAGCCTGAACTTCCATCCCTTCTCTTGCTGCCGGGCCCTCCTCGCCCCCCCTCCCCAAGTAACCCCGCCCAGCAGGCCCTGCCCAGGCTACTGCCACCGACCCGCAGGCCCTGGGTCCGCACCCCACGCTGGCGGCCGGGCTGTCCTGACAGCGGGACCGGCCAGTTGGTTCCCTTCAGGGGCACGCGCCTCCCCCTGCACCCACCCCTGTAACCCGAGCTGCTTCAGCGCCTCCCCGCGCAGCCCCACTGGGCCCTAGGCCCCGACAGCGAGTCCGCAGGCGCCATGGGCCTCGGGGCCTGCGTGTCCTCGGCGGCGTCGGGGGGCCGAGCCCAGGCTGGCCGGTTGGGAGCCGTGCTGGGTGCCCTGTGCCTGCTGCCCGTGCTCATGATGCTGGCTCGGCTGGGGGCCCCCTCGGCCCGGCTGGTGGCCAGCGGCGCGCAGGTGAGAGCGGGCGGGACAGGGCAGGAGGGTGGGTGGCCCGAGGGTCCAAGGGCCTGCGTGTCCCGGGGGGAGGGGGGGGCTGGGGGGGCGGGGAGGGGGGGCGCAGCATCAGGCCTCCAGCCCCGCCCACTCCGACCTGGCCTGTGGTTAGAAACCTTTTTCATTCTGGCTGTAAAAATAACACTGGCCAGGATCGCAAACCCAAAAACGCAGAGACCAAAGGAGGGAACTTCAGCGCTCCCTTAACCACGGACCCCGCCCCGTTTCCTATAGTCTTTTTTCTGAGTGTTTTCAGACACGGTCCGGTCCCTTCTGCTTCCCCACGAGCACTTGCTTTCCTTGAAGGGAGATCTCGCCGCACCCAACCCCGCGGGTGTCCTCGCCACCCCGGGACCGGGTCCTCTGCCCCTCCAGGCGCCCCGCAGACGCCGCTACACGCTGACCCCCGCCAGGCTGCGCTGGGACCACTTCAACCTCACCTACAGGTGTGACCGTGGGCCAGGATGTTGAGGGGAGCGTGCCGCAGCCTGGCCGCCACCCTGACCTGAACCCCCACCCCAGGATCCTCTCCTTCCCACGGAACCTGCTGAGCCCCAGTGAGACCCGGCGGGCCCTGGCCACCGCCTTCCGCATGTGGAGCGACGTGTCCCCCTTCAGCTTCCGAGAGGTGGCCCCCGAGCAGCCCAGCGACCTCCGCATAGGTGGGCGCCGTGCCCCCGCCCCCGCCCGGCCCCGCGGCCCCCTCTCAGCCCCTGTGCTCTCCCAGGCTTCTACCCGGTCAACCACACGGACTGCCTGGTCTCCGCGCTGCACCACTGCTTTGACGGCCCTACAGGGGAGCTGGCCCACGCCTTCTTCCCCCCGCACGGTGGCATCCACTTCGATGACAGCGAATACTGGGTCCTGGGCCCCACGCGCTACAGCTGGAAGAAAGGTGATGGCCTGGCCTCCCGTGGAGCCCTCTGCACCACGGTGGTGGGCACGGCAGGAGGGCTTTGGGGGGGGTGGTACGATTTGGGGTTAAGTAGGCAGGAAGGGGGAGGCTGGGAGGAGGACATAGGCCTGGGTTCCAGGAGCCCTGAAACCCCTCTGCCCCCCTCCCCCCTGCCGCCGGAGACAGAGCCGAGGAGCTACATTCCTGGGGGCCGAGCTCACCGCCTCTGCTGGCCTGGAACATTCTTATCTTCCCATGGCTGTGCTGAGAGGGAGGCTCCGTGGCCGCACCGCAGCAGATGTGGCCACGGCAAGCAAGGCTGGCGGGCAGAGAGGGGTAGGGCTGGGCCAGGGTCCGAGGGCCTGACCCGCGGGACCTGCAGGCGTTTGGCTCACCGACCTGGTGCACGTGGCGGCCCACGAGATCGGCCACGCGCTGGGCCTGATGCACTCGCAGCACGGCCGGGCTCTCATGCACCTCAACGCCACGCTGCGCGGCTGGAAGACGCTGTCGCAGGATGAGCTGTGGGGGCTGCACCGACTCTACGGTGAGCGCCGTGGGTGGGTGGGCCGGTGGGTGGCGTGCCGGGCAGGCCCTGAGGACGGGTTGCCCTCTGGCAGGCTGCCTGGACCGGCTGTTCGTGTGCACGTCGTGGGCACGGAGGGGGTTCTGTGACACCCGCCGGAGACTTATGAAGAGGCTCTGTCCCAGCAGCTGTGACTTCTGCTACGGTGAGTCGGGATCCCCAGTCCCGGCCTGGGCGTGGCCGGGCACGGGGCGCTGACGTGCTCCTCCTTCCCCGACTCTGGAGCAGAGTTTCCCTTCCCCACGGTGGCCGCCACTGCACCGCCACCCAGGACCAAGACCAGGCTGGTGCCCGAGGGCCGGAACGTGACCTTCCGCTGCGGCCAGAAGATCCTCCACAAGAAAGGCAAAGTGTAGTGAGTGGCCCTGTGTCCCCGTGAGCCCCCGAGGGCGGGTGGCGGGTGCTCGGGACCCTGCCCAGCCTTCCCACCCTCCCCGCAGCTGGTACAAGGACCAGGAGCCCCTGGAGTTCTCCTACCCTGGCTACCTGGCCCTGGGCGAGGCGCACCTGAGCATCATCGCCAACGCCATCAACGAGGGCACGTACACGTGCGTGGTGCGCCGGCGGCAGCGCGTGCTCAGCACCTACTCCTGGCGGGTCCGCGTGCGGGGCTGAGCGCCCCGGAGCCGAGGCCGCTGATAAAGCACTTTCTCTCTGAAGTCTGCGCCCCCTTTCTTGGGAGGGAGGGCGAGTGGCCGCGGGTCCTGCGGGGTGGGGCTACCGGCCTGTGCCCAGCTTGGTGTGGGGAGCCTGGGCCGGGACGCCCCGACCTCGGCACGCAGTTCCTCGGGGTGAGCTTGTGGACCTGAGGCGGAGGCCAAGGCCAAGGCAGGCTTTTCCCGGCTGGTCCTGAAGTGGGGAAAACGGAGGCCCACGCGTGAGCATCATTCCCGCGGACACAGGCGGGGCCGCTGGAGCCCGGGGTCCCGGCTGGGCCTCGGGGTCGCGCAGCAACGGGGGAGGCAGGGAGGCTGGCAAGGGCCGGGCCACCGTGCCCGTGAGGCCTCCAGTGGGAGTGGAAGGGGGCGAGTGCGGCCCAGGACGCGCGCCTGGGCAGGAGTCAGGGGAGAAGGTTGGCGGTGCCAGCGGGGCCGGGCCTGGGGCGGGCGGGGGCCCCGGCAGTGGCAGGCGCCCCCTGCGCCCGAGTGACGTCCTGCCCGCCCGGACCTGGAGCTGGGGACCGGGCAGGCCAAGGAGGACCTGGCCACGTGGGGTCAGGGGCCACCCTTCTCCCCGCAGAGCGCAGGCCCGGGGCCCCTCTGGGCAGCACGAGCTCTGGACTGGTCCGCGAGGCGCCTGCTGTGGGAGGGACAGAGCAGAGCTTCCCCCCAAGCGTACTTTACTGCATCCTGAAACACGTTCACCTTGGTACAAACCCACCATGGCCAGGAGCTCGTACGTTGGCCGCGGGAGGGCCTGGGGGCTGGGGGTGCCCTGAGCGAGGGGCAGGGAGGCGCAAAGGAGCCTGAAGGTTAACGAGAACCACCCGGTTCCCCACGGCTCCGCTCCGGGACCGGTGTCCTAACAGTGCAGCCCCCGGTTGTCACCATGCTGAGTGTGTGTCGGGTGTGTGTCCACCCACACCAGCCACCTAGAAGCCCCCTCTTCCCAAGGCGAGTCTGACACATCCGGAAGAATACAGCCTTTCCTCCCACAACAAGGAAAATGTGATTTAATTCTACAAATTTACAAGCCAAGATAAAAATGAAATGTTGGAAAAGCAAACAAGACAGGCAGTCTGAGACGTGAGGTCAAGATGTGCAGCCACACTGGCCTCCTGCAGCTGCGTCCAGTCAGGGCCGGGCCTCGGTCTGGACCCACAAGCTGCCTCTGGCACCTGCCCTGGGCCCGACTGAGCCTTGCTGGTCGGTACCCGCAGGGCTGACGTGCGCCCCGCGCCGAACTTCAGAACTTGAGGCTGAAGCCGGGCCCCGCGGCCGAGGCCCCCTGGTTTGTGGTGGTGAGATGGAAGCCCGTCTCCTTCAGGTCATCGTCGCCCTGCGGAGCAAGTGGCATCGTGGGGCTCCGGCTGGGCTGGCCCCGCCTTGGCCCCCCCCCCCCCACCTGCCGGCCTGCCCCTCACCAGCTGGCTGTAGCCCAGGCCGCCTTCGGGGGGCCGTGGGCTCGTGCCGCGCTTCACCCGCTGCTGCTCACTCTTGGCGGGCCACGTGGGGAACATCGAGGGGTCAATGGGGAGAGGGGTCTCTCGGAAATACTCGTGCTTGAGACCGTCCTCCGCGCTGACCCTCCGCCCAGGGAAGTAGGTCAGGAACCTAGGAGAACAAGGGCAGCTGGCACCCCCAGGTGGGGGGGGGGGGGGGCCCGGGGCCCAAGGGGCGCAACCTGTAGGTTCACACACTTGTTCATGAGGTCAAAGCCCTGGTCTGAGAGCAGGGCCCCGAAGCGTTTACGGAGATTGTTATAGGGGTACTCGGTGAAGGTCATCTTCTTGACCGCAGGGAGGTCATTGTAGCCAGGCCAGATTTTCTCACTGGGGGTCCCCAGGTCCTGAGAGAGAGAGAGAGAGAGAGAGAGAGAGAGAGAGAGTTTCAGTGTAACAGCCACGGCCCGCAGGGAAGGTCTGGTCCGGGTGCCCTGCAGGCGAGCCAAACCCACCTTGAACACTTTGTTGATCTGGTCAATCTCCGACTTCCCCGGGAACAGCGGCTTCTGGGTCAGCAGCTCCCCGAAGATGCAGCCCACCGACCACATGTCCACAGCCGTGGAGTACTCCTGGGGGGCCAGGGGCACACTCAGGGGGCTGGGGGGAGGGCACTGAGCGCAGGCTGGCCCCCCGGCGTCCCGGCACTCACCTTGGCGCCGAGCAGCAACTCTGGGGCGCGGTACCACAGGGTCACGACGACCGGGGTGTAGGCCTTCAGAGGAGACCCGTACTCCCTCGCCAGCCCGAAGTCCCCCACCTGTGAGGACGGAGGCCGGGCTGTGGGCGGGCCCTGAGGCCGGGCGCCAGGCGCCCGTGGGGGCGCCCCGGGGGCTCACCTTGAGGATGCCGGCGTGGCTCAGCAGCAGGTTGGACGTCTTAAGGTCTCGGTGCAAGATCCAGTTGTCGTGCAGATGCTTGACGCCGCGCAGCAACTGGATCATCAGTGTCTTCACCTCCCCTGCGTGGCAGCGGGCCAGCGCCCCCGGTCACCTACCCGCCTCAGCGGGACCCAGGCCCCTCGGGCTGTGGTGATCCCGGGAACGCTCCCCCCTCGGCACAGCCCCCGCACACGCACGTGCGCACACACATGTGTGTACGTGGTGCGGGGCGCTCAGGGCTCCTTCCGCCCCAGGGACATGCCGCCTGCACCCTGGGCGGCCGAAGGGCCAGACGCCTGTGGGAGTAGATCGGGGCTGTGGGAGACCCTCCCCTGCGGCTGGCCCCCCCGTGTCCCAGGCCCCACCTGGCAAGAAGGGCTGCTTCATGGTCTCCATCAGGCTCTTGAGATCGTGCTCCACGTAGTTCATCACGATGTAGATCTTGTCCATGTTGCTCCCCACGACGATCTCCTAGCAAACGAGAGCGGGTCTGTGGGTGCCGAGCTCGCCTCCAGGCCCTGCAACCAACCGCGGGCTCCCGGGGCACAGCCGCTGGGGACAGCTGCTACCTACTAGGTGCGACGACCCTAGGGGGGCGGACATTTGGGGAGGCGAGTGCTCAACTATTGCACAACACGGTGGGCAGGAATCGCAGGGACCCTTGGGGCACAGGCCGGGGCTGCCTCACCCTGACGGTGACAATGTTGGGGTGCTGTGCCTTGAGGATGGTGTTGATCTCCCTCAGGGACGTGATTGGAAAGCCCTCCTTCTCCTTCTCCATCTTGAGCCGCTTCAGAGCCACAATTTCATCTGAAAACAGTTCAAAGACGGGCTGAGAGAACACACGTCTCACCGGGATGTAGGGAGCGGCTCTTACTCTGCACCGGAAAGTCCCGTGTTACGTCAGCACCATGAAAACGCCCAAATCTGTGGTCTGACAGACGCAGGCGGCTTTTGTCCGAAACAGCTAAGCAAAGTTTTCCTGTTTCTCTCTCTACCCCTACTGTGATTTGCCAGCAAACCTCGACATCCCAGGACAGACACAATCACCAGGGGCTGAGCACCTCAGGTGGCCCCTCGGACGGTGCAAGCCCCAGCTGCGGGCGCTAGCACTCCGTTCCGGAGCAGAGGCACCCGCTGTCACAAGCGAGCGGCAGAGCCTCGCGGTCAGGCTGACCTTGGGCCTCCACGGGCACCAGAGAGTCAACTGCTCAGGGGCCCACGAGTCACTAGCTGCTGGCGGCCAGGTAAGGCGAGGCCACGGCCGGGCATCTGGGGAGAAAAGGCTCCCAGGAGGGTCGGAAGTGCGTGTTCGAGGACCTTGACACCGAGGGCGCGAAGGCCAGGACGGCCAGCCTCCCTCCTAGACCCGCACGGGCGCCGGTGGGGCTGCGGACAGCAAACGCTCCGGGCCCGGGCTGGCGCAGCAGGTGCCCCCAAGGACACTGCTCTTCAGCACAAGTTCCTTCCTAAACAGGGACGGGCTCTGTGCCAGCCGGGTCCTGCCCGCCCCCCCCTCTGGGGGGCCCCCGGCCCAGCACCCACCTGTTTTCTTGTCCTTTGCTCGGTACACCACCCCGTACGTGCCTTCTTCGATCCTGTTCAGACACTGGAACTCCTCCACACTCCGACAGCCCTGGAAGGAAGCCTGCCCTGAGGACACGGCGGCTCTGCCGCCCACACACCCACGTCAGGCCAGTGGAACAAATCCTGCCCAGAAGTCTCCAGAAGCCCCAGGATGTGTCTGGTGGTGGGGCCAGGAGCAGCCCTCTTCTCCGGTTTCTTCAATGAGCACGTGCTCTTTGACTACAGAATACACCCAACATGGAGAAGAGCTGGTCCCAGGCGCATCCTTCTGTGCCAGGACTGGCCTGTCTGCCCCGTGCGAAGATGACACCGAGGACAGGAGCCCCCACTGCACCAACCACACCACCACGGCCCTGGTGACCCGGGTGACAGATGCCCACACCAGGGACCCAACCCCTGCTCTCAGCCAGCAGGCTTGCTTGTAATCACACAGCAGAAGCAGCCCTGGCGTGGGGGGGACGCCTGACCTGCAAGGCAGGGAGGTACTTGGGCAGCTCCTGTTTGAGTTCAATGGGTGACAAGGCGGGAGAGTCGGGCACAAAGTCCCCTTCCGTCAGGGCGCTGCTCTGTGGAGTGCCCTCGCCGGCTTCTTCCTCCCCGTCCTCACTGTCCCCGGAGTCTCGGTCAAATCGGGACTCTGGAACTTCAAAAGTTAAACCCAGTTATGGAACCAAGAATAAGCAACCATCGTCCCCCCTCCCGCTCGGCGGTGGGGGCGGAGGGGAAGCGAGCCTCACGAGAACGACCCCAGGATGCTGTGCGCAAGTGTGTATTCCACCGCCCTGGACAGAGGGCCCTAGGGTCTGGGGGCTCGCCAGCTCGGCCACGTGCACGGGGAGCCCCCGACCGGAGACCGAGCTCAAAGGCGGCACCCGCAGAGCTCCTGTCGGGCCCCGCGGACGTGGCCTTGCTGGTGTCCACCCGAAGGGGACGGCCCTGGGGCTGGACCCGAGCTCAGAGGCGGGGCCCCGGCCGGCGCTTCCCAGCCACCTGCAGCGTCTGAGCCACGGCGACACTCAGTCAGCACAGTCCCCAGTACGGGATGCTGGCCCCCCAGGGTCGCAGGCAGCCAACGGTGCGGTGCTCGGGGAACGGGGTCTCTCGGAGCACCAGCTGCCTGTGCCTGTGGGGCGCCCGGAGGAAGGCTGAGGCGCCGGCTCTAAACGGACGCGGGACAAGACCAAGCGCCGGGGCGCCTCTCACCAACGAGGACGTGGTTCTCGTTCTCTCGCTCCCCATCCTCACTCATCTCGTCTTCGCTCACTTCCTCTGCAAGAGAGAGCAGGCGTCTGCTCAGATCTGCGGGGCTGCGGGCCCCGCGCTGACGTGGGGTCTTCAGACCCTCCGCGGGCACAAGCAAGGGGCTGCTTTAGCTAACGGAAAGCAAGAATCACTGTAAATGATCCGTCTGGGGGGCTCAGGCGGAGTCTCCGGGGGCGAGGCATTTGCCGCCTGGAGACCTGTGTGTCCACGCGACCCCGGCGGCCTGCAGAGCCCGGCAAACGAAACTGTCACGCCCGGCGCCCTCCTCACCGGCCGACTGTCCAGACGCGTCCTCCGAGTTGCTGCCGGTCTCCTCCTCCTCCTCCTCCTCCTCCTCCTCCTCCGACTCCTCGCTGCTGCTGCCCTCCTCCTCCTCCTCCTCCTCTTCCTCCTCCTCCTCTTCCTCCTCCTCCGAACCCGACCCTGATTCCGCTTCAGAGGAAAACGGCCGCAAGTGACCGCAGGCAGGGACCACGGGGGCCTCCCTCAGGGCGGCGGAGCCCGCGCTCACCTGACGAGGACTCGGCCGAGCTGGTCTTGCGTTCGCTGTCACTGACGTCTTGCAGGTCGGACAGCAGGTCTCTCTCTTCCACTTTCTCTTCTTTCGCTTGTGACACAAACCATCAAAGGTGAACGTGTTTACGATAAACAAGACGGCGCGGGATCTTTCACACAGAGATGAACTTCAGTCCGTACGCTAAACCCCTCAGCCACCCGCGGCTGGAAAACAGCTCTCAGAGACCCGTAACCAACGTTTCCGCTCAGATACAAGTGTGCTCCGCGCAAATGTTAACGGTCCTGTCCCGTGAGACGGAAGCACGCCACCTCCCTGTGCAGAACAAAAGCTTTCGTGCATAACGACCCCGAGCAAGAACCGCACCGTGCGGGCCTCCAGGCAGTGGCTGCGCGCGCTCACCTGGCTTCCGGCCATCTGTCAGCTCAAACCGCTCTCGCGGAGGCCGCAGCGGGCTGCGACTCCAGTGGCTTGCTTTCACTTTGTCGCCATAGTCTTCCCTCATGGTCCGGTGATGTGCAGACACTGGGGAACAGAACACAGGAGGCGGTGCTGGCAGCACCCTCTCCCCGGGGAGCCCCACCTCGCTCGGATCTCACCCCTACCCCCGCTGACGGCAACCCGCTGCACCTGCGAACAGCTCTGGCGAGAGAGGCCTGGAGACTGAGGCGTCCTGAGGACGCGCGTGGGCCCTCTACACTCTACCGGCCAGAAAGGAAGGGGCCGCGACCCACCTCTTCCAGCCGGGGCCGCCCCACGGCCGTCGGGCACCAGGCCCGGGAACGCCCCGGCCGCACACCCGCGCCTCAGGCCTCAAGCGACTAGTGCCTTCTTCGGCAAGGAACTGCACGGTCAGACTCCACTCCCGAGCCTCACAGTCTGTCCCCCCTTCGCTCAGCCACAGTCCAGAGCGCTCAGCCCGCAGCGTCACCCACGGGCGCATCACCGCAAGCACAGGGCGCGCCCACGCGTACCTTCCCTTCGGGCCTCGCGCTCCTTGCGCCGCTCCTCAGCGCGCCGCTCCCGCTCCTTCTGTTCCCGCTGTTCCTTCTGCTGCTCACGCAACTTGCGTTCTCGTTCCCGCTTCCTCTCCAGCTGCTCGAGGCGGTCCCTGCAACAGACACAGGCCAAGTCTCTCTCCACAAACACAAAGTTTTCTTTTTTACCTCAAGTGCTTTTTGCTCAAATTTATAAACCGCCCACGTAGGTTGTGCAAACCAAAGCTAGAATACACACGTGCACACGGCCCGACAGCCGCAACAGAAGACAGCAAAACACTGGCACAGTGAGATAACTGCCCGTGAGGAATGGGCCCACTGGTTCGAGAAGGCTTCTGCTTAGCAGTCCTACCAAGTATGAACGGCGGTACGGCGTGTCCAGGGGCTACGGAGGGGGTGGAAGAGCCCACCCGAGGAAGGCGGGGAGGGGGAGGTAGAATTGGGCGACAGGCCCTGTCCTACCCTCTCACTACCCTACGGCAAACACATCCCCAGCGTGGCCTGGTGTGGAGCTAAGTGCGTACGTGTGGCGTCCGAGGGGCAGCGGGGAAGGCTGCCTCACGAAGGGGGCGAGACTCGCCCGAGGCGCAGGAACCACCCGTGGCCACAGTGTGCGCGGCGGGCACCCGACAAAGCGGCCAGACGTTGAAAACCGATCAGTTAATTTTCACATTCTGAATTGGAATCATGTCCAAGTCCAACCAGAAAAGCTATTACAAAAACAAACAAACCAGCAACGAGCAGACGATGGTGAAAGCGGAACAAGGCCTGTGGGATGGTCACTGGTACTGAACCAGCTGAGGCCCCTCAGAGGCTACCGCTGAGGAAGGCTGGGATTCTAGCGCTGTTCCGTAAACGCGGAAGAGTCAAAATACAACCTGTAACTTAGCATATAAAATCTAACCACCGAGGGGCAGCTGGGGGACTCAGTCGTTTAAACATCTCTTTCAGCTCAGATCATGGTCTCAGGATTAGGGAGTTCGAGCCTCGCATTGGGCTCTATACTGACAGTGCGGAGCCTGATTGAGATTTTCTCTCTGCCACTCTCCTGCTCGCAGATCTCTTTGACTATTTCAAAATTAGTAAAAATTTTAAAAATTCCAAACAGTGAATTCAATTTTTCATAAATTTATGAAATTGTCCACCACGATAAGGCAGTTTTAAAACATTCCCATCACATGACCTACTCTCTCACGCCCACATGTGCTCAGCTCTGAGACACCCTCCCTCCATCTGCTCTCTGTCTGCTTGGAATCCTCTGGACATTTCTGCTGCCTGCTTTGGGTTGAGTCTGCTTCTTTCTCCTGCCCTCTTGGGGAAGAAGCTCAGGCCGCTGACTGGACAACTTCCTTTACTGGCATCAGTGCTTAAAACAGCTCACTCTGGGCCCAGCATTTTGTGCACCCCTAACTTTTGGTGCCTTGCTTTTGTTTCCCTTCGGTTCAAAGTATTTTCTATTTTTCCTTTTAATTTCCTCTTTGGGCCATGGGTTAGTCAGAAATGGGAGAGCTTTGTGTAGTGGGACTATCGTAGCCCAGAAATGTGTCCTTGGATTTCCAAACATTTTGAGAATTTTCCCAGGTTTCTTTCTGTTGATCTCTTCTTTCGTGGTAACGGGCATACTCTGTACCACTGCAACTCTCTTCTATTTGACACTTGTCATGTGTGGCCCACATATGATACACTTGAAACTGTAGTCTGCAGCTGTGGGTGGGTCCCGCACGCAAGCTCAGTCAGACTGAAAGGGTGCAGGGTATTCTCCAAATTTTTTATATCCTTGGTTTCTCTCGTGCTATCAACACTAGAGCGGGGTACCGGAACTTCCAAGTATAATCGAGGAAACTGCCTGTATCTCCTTTCAACTGTCAAGTTATTGCATCATAGTTTTGGACTCTGCTGAGCAGCGCATACACGTCTACCATGTCCCTTCCTGTCACTCAGCCCCGCCTCAGCGCGGCTGACGTCTGGCTGGCGCTGACCGAGCTGCTCGCGCTGCGGCTGCTGTGCTGTTGCGTCTTCTCCCATGTGTTTACTTTCATGGTTTTTTGGGGGGTTTTTTTTGGTGAACGTATACACAATCTCTCTTCTTTTGCTTATTTTGAAATCACTCTACGTTTGTTTCTGGTACACTTAATTCATTCAAATTGTACATTTCTAATGACTAAATTACGAATGTTATATAATTATATAAAACGCAGATAAAAACCACTGCACAGAATGTGTTTTTAAAAAATCATACTCATAAAAATATCGCCTGTCATACGTACTGACAAGTAGCTGTGTTTAAAAATGAACTTTTGGGGTGCTTGGGTGGCTCAGTTGGTTAAGCATTTGACTTCAGCTCAGGTCATGATCTTGCGGTTTGAGTTTGAGCCCCGCATCAGGCTCTGTGGTGACAGCTTGGAGCCTGGAGCCTGCTTCAGATTCTGTGTCTCCCTCTCTTTCTGCCCCTTTTCTACTCATGCTCTGTCTCTCAAAAACAAATAAACGTTAAAAGAATAAATAAAAGTGAACTTTGGCCCAGGCTGCCACCATGTTTCAATGGTCTCTCCTTAGTCTCCAATCCAAAAGAGTGTGGTTTCCAGACACAATGTAAACAACACTTAAAAAAAATTTTTTTTAATGTTTTACTTATTTCTGAGAGAAACAGTGTGAGCAGGGGAGGACCAGAGAGGGAGACACAGAATCTGAAACAGGCTCCAGGCTCTGAGCTGTCAGCACAGAGCCTGACGTGGGACTCAAACTCATGGATAGTGAGATCATGACCTGAGCCAAAGTCGACGCTTAACCGACTGAGCCACCCAAGTGCTGCCCCCCCACTCCCTGCCCTCAAGTATTCCTTAAGGCAGGTATTACTAACAATGAAGTCCACCAGTTGTGATTTTCCCCTCACTTTTGAAGAACAGTTTTGCTGGGGCGCCTGGGTAGCTCAGTCAGTTAAGCAGCTGACTGCGGCTCAGGTCATGATCTCACGGTTTGTGGGTTTGAGCCCCACATTGGGCTCTGTGCCGACAGCTTGCTCGGAACCTGGAGCCTGTCTTCGGATTCTGTAAATCCCTCTCTCTGACCCTCCCTTGCTCACGCTGTCTCTACCTCTCTCTCAAAAATAAATAAAAACATTAAAAAAAAAAAAAAGAACAGTTTTGCTGTATACCGATGTCCTGGTTGCAGGTTTTCTTTCTGCAGCGTGACTATGCCATTCCATTGCCTTCTGGCCTCCAGTTTCTTTCTTTTTAAAATAATTTTTGTTTTAATGCTAATGTTTTGGTGGGGAGGGGAGAGGAAGGGGGGGGGGAGGGAGGGAGGGAGGAAGAATGAATAGAAATGGGGCAGAGAGGGAGACACAGAAACCAAAGCAGGCTCCAGGCTCTGAACTGTTAGCACAGAGCCAAACGCAAGGCTCAGACCTACAGACCACTGAGATCCTGACCCGAGCTGAAGTTGAATGGTTAACTGACTGAGCCACCAGGTGCCCCTGGTCTCCACTGCTGCTAATGAGAAGCTGGCCACGAGTCACACTGAAGCCCCCCTTCCATGTAGAGATCTTCCCTCTTACTGCCTTCAACATTTTCTCTTTAGCTTTCACCAGTTTAACTGTGATGTGTCTTTGTATTTATCCTACTTGGGATACTGAACTTCTTGGATACGTAGATAACTGTTTTTCATCAAATTTGGGAAGATTTCAGCCATTACTTAAGAAGGTATCTTTGTGCCGCGTCCCTCTGCTCTCCTGGTACTTCGAGTTGCATGGTGTTTGTAAAACAGATGCTGTGCCACAGATCTGTGGCTCTAGTCATCTTTCTTCAGTCGTCTCTGTTCTTCAGAAAACAAATTTCTATTGCTCCGTTTCAAGTCCCTTGCTAATATGGAACACTCCATTTCCACTGATGCTTTTCTTTCTTAATAGGAAGTCATACTTTCCCATTTCTTTCAGGTCTCAAAACATTTTGTTGAAAATCAGACATTTCAAACAAACCGTAGCAATTGTGGATTCTGATCTTTCCTCTCACCTGTTGGTGTTGGCTTGGTAACGTGCTGTGCTAAGTCTGTCAACTCTGTCTTCCAACCAGAGTGCAGCCACTGCTGGTTTTTTTCCACATGTTTCTTTTTGTTTTCGGGTCTGTCTTCCTCGGGATCACCACGGTGTCCGCACGGCTGTGCCATCAGCCGGTCCTAAACCGTCAGCACCGCCTGGCAAACGTGGGGGTTTCACGTGCTAGCGGTGAACCTGGACACAAAGCTCAGCTCACCCTGCGATCTTTACCTTAGGAGGCAGCTCCCCTCCTCTCTCCTCCTCGGGAGAACAAAGGCTCTCGTCACACCTTCTTCCGTGCCCGTGTCATTCGGCCGTGGCTGCTGGCAACGTCGGCACCATCTACCCTCCTACCTCTCCCTTCCTTGCAGCAGGCCAGCCACCAAGCTTTCTCTGGAAATATCTCAACACACGGAGGTGGCCTGGTGGTCACAGCCAGCCCGTATGAACAGAGCGAGAGCTAAACAGAGGTTTTCTCCTGGGCATCTGAGCCTCCAGAGATGTATGTGGAGACGTGCCTCAGTTCCACAACTGTTAACAGGCCTTTGGGATTTCCGTTTTCTTTCTTTCTTTTTTAATTTTTAAAAAATGTTTTATTTATTTTTGAGAGAGAGAGAAAGACAGCGTGAGCAGGGGAGGGTCAGAGAGAGAGGGAGACACAGAATCCAAAACAGGCTCCAGGCTCTGAGCTAGCTGTCAGCACAGAGCCCGACGCGGGGCTCGAACCCACGAACCGTGAGATCATGACCCGAGCCGAAGTTGGACGCTCAACCGACTGAGCCACTCAGGCGCCCCTGTTTTGTTTTGTTTGAAAGAACCACAGTCTATTTCTGCTGTGACCTACAGAACCCTCAGCGATAAATTTCCTTAGTCTTCCTCGCTTGGACCACCTGGAAGAGAGCTTGGTACAGAGCAGGCACTCAAAAAATACTTGCCCAGTGACCGGACGAGTCGCCCTACAACAGACTTCTCTTGGGTGCTGACTGTGTCAGAATTTCAATGCGTGCAATGGCCTGAATCTGAGAGGGGCCTACTCCACGCTGTAACGTGAGCGCAGTGCACGCGGACCACCTTCCTCTCACAAGGTATGGCCCATCCTCACGCAAAAGCTCAGAAGTATTTACAGCTCCTCCTCCCCCTTCCCCGGCATCGACTGACAGATGGAGGAAGATCATCTCTCCCTGCTCGACTCCCGCCCCTCCCCTCCCTACTGCTATGTTTTGGCCCCAAACCGCACTCCTTATGTCTGAATTCCTTTCTCAGACCTCCAGCTCCCACCAGCAACGCGCCTTCCATCAGGCCCAAATCACACTCTTCCAGGGGGCCTCAAGCAACCGCTAGAATGACCTGGCTCCCGAGGACCTCCCCCACCAGCCTGCACCCGGAGGAAACCGACACACATATTTCCGTTCCCTCCACGATCACCTCTCAGGAAAATTCACACCGATTTCTGTCTTCAAGATGCAGTAAAAACGTAACCCCTTTAGGACAAGCCCCTTGGTTGGCACCAGCCCACGTTTACTGCGCCCCGGTGTGGACTCAAACCACTTCTGCCCCATCTGTGCTTCTCTACTGGGTTCCGTGTGTGCATCGAAACGGCTCTGACGGGGCGCCGGCCCCAGCCGCGCTGGGTTCAGGCCCCCGAGCGCCACGCACCTCTCCCGCCGGGAGTGCTCCCGCGCCAGCTCCCGCCGCTTCTGCCGCTCCCACTCGCGCCGGGCCTTGTCCTGCTCCTCCCGGTGTCGCTTCCGGCGCTCGTGCTCTCTCTCCTTCTCCTTCGCCCTAGCGTGCTTCCCTACGGAAAGAGCGGGTCACGCGAGGGGCCGACGCCCAGAACTTACTCCGAAAATAGTGAAGGGGCGCCTGGTGACTCAGGTAAGTGTCTGACTCCGGCCCAGGTCATCTCACAGTTCATGAACTTGAACCCCACATCGGGGGCTCCCTGCTGCCAGTGCAGCACCTGCTTCAGACCCTCTGCCCCCTCGTTCTGCCCTCCCCTGCTTGTGTGCACACACTCTAAGAAAACGAATTAAAAGATTAAAAAAAATTTCTGGGCCACGTGGGTGGCTCAGTTGGTTAAGCGTCCGACTTCAGCTCAGGTCATGATCTCAACAGTTCGTTAGTTCGTGCCCCGCGTCAGGCTCTGTGCTGACAGCTCAGAGCCTGGAGCTGCTTCAGATTCTGGGTCCCCACGCTCTCTGCCCCTCCCCCACTCCTGCTCTATCACTCTAAAATATGAACGTTTAGGGGCGCCCGGGTGGCTCGGTCATTTAAGCATCCAATTTTGGCTCAGATCATGATCTCGCGGTTCGTATGTTCGAGCCCCGCGTCGGGCTCTGCACTGACAGCTCAGAGCCTGGAGCCTGCTTCAGATTCTGTGTCTCCTTCTCTCTCTGACCCTCCCCTGCTCACGCTGTCTCTCTTTCTCTCTCTCTCAGAAATAAATAAAAGATTAAAAAAAAATTTTAATGTGAACATTTAAAACAATTAAAAACTTTTTTCAAAAAAATACTAGTAAAGAAGAAAACATTAAATTAATGACTTCAGAGAAACAATCACGGTTTTATGTTAAAAAAGCAAAAGAACATGAAAACTTAAAATCCTATGCAGTAAGCCTCAAAGTGAGGGAAAAAATAACATGGTTATCACTGAATAAAACTGTAACTTTCTGTATTAAGCTATAATTAGACTATAGTTGATCCTTGAACAATACAACGTTGACGCACTGACCCCCAAGTACAGTCAGAAATCCATGTGTAACTTTTGACTCCCTAAAAACTCTAAGAGCTTACTGTTAAAACAGTCAACACATATTTTGTGTGTTATACGTGTTACCTACTATACTCTCGCAATCATGCTAAGCTAGGAAAAAAACTTATTATTAAAAATACTATAACGGAAGGATGCCTGGGTGGCTCAGCAGATTAAGCATCCGACTTGTGATTTCCACTCAGGTCATAATCTCCTGGTTTGTGAGACAGAGCCCTGTGTCCAGCTCTGTGCTGACAGCACGGAGCCTGCTTGGGATTCTTTCTCCCCCTCTCTCTGCCCGACTCCAGCTTGCATGTGCGGTCTCCGTCTCAAAATAAATAAACTTTAAAAAATTGCATACAAATCCCCTATATTTGTTGACTTAAGACAATATTACAACATTTATGGGGCGCCTGGATGGCTCAGTCAGTTAAACGTCTGACTTCTGCTCAGGTCATGATCTCATGATTTGGGAGTTTGAGCTCCACATTAGGCTCTATGCTGACAGCTCAGAGGTTGGAGTCTGCTTTGGATTCTGTGTCTCTCCTTCTGTCTGCCTCTCCCCCACTCATGCTATGTCTTGCTCTCTTTCAAACATAAGCATATTTTTTTCATTAAAAAAATATTTTTTACGTCTTTATTTTGAGAGACAGAAAGCGAGTGGGGGAGGGGAAGAGAGAGAGGGAGATACAGAAACTGAAGCAGGGTCCAGGCTCTGAGCTGTCCACACAGAGCCCGACGCAGGGCTCGAACCCACAGACTATGAGATCAAGACCTGAGCTGAAGTCCAACACTAAACCAAATGACCTACCCAGGTGCCCCAATAAACATACATTTAAAAAAAGACAACATTAGGGGCGCCTGGGTGGCCTAGTCGGTTAAGCGTCCGACTTTCGCTTAGGTCATGATCTCGCGGTTCTTGGTTTCGAGCCCCGCTTCGGGCTCTTTGCTGACTGCCAGCTCAGAGCCTGGAGCCTATTTCCGAGTCTGTGTCTCCCTCTCTCTCTGACCCTCCCCTCTTCACGCTGTCTCTCTCTCCTAGAAATAAATAAAAAATATATAAAAAAAATATTTAAAAAAAAAAAAAAAAAAAAGACAACATTACATTTAAACAAACTAGCCCAAAACAATGTAATAAGAGATAAAAAACAATAGAGGGAAAATAAATAGCTATTCAGAATGATCTATGGAAAAATGTATGCTTTTGGCTAAGATTTTACTTTCTCTTCTCTTTTAATTGTGCTCTGGAGAAGACAGCATATTATGATACAGGAATCAGACCTATACTTGGACGTGATACAAAGAAATATAATAAATGCTTCTGTACCCCCTTCTGCTGAATGGCTACGATGCCTACGTTTCTCTTTCCTCTTTTCATCCTTCCTGTGGTGAGCCTTTTCTTTCCGAGACATTTGCTGGGGTGGTTTGATAGCCAAAGAGTCATCTTCCTCTCCTCTGAAAGAAGACACAACAGCATCACATTGTGCTTCAGAAAGTAATGTGAGAACCATCAGGGCACCGTGAGTTTCTACAACCCAGAAAAATGCAGAGCTCAAAAATACAATTAAAGTTGAGTCTGAAATCATTTAAACCTTATTAACTATGAAACTTAGGCCAAAACTGCTTATGAAATATAAACACAAATGTAAATTGTAAATGAATAATCAATGTGTACATGGAATGAAAATGCCCCTCTGCGGAACCTTCGGGGTATGACGCCCACGTTCACTACCTTGATCATGGTGATAGTTTCACAAGCATGTACAAACATGTCAAACTGCACACTTTACGTATATGCAGTTTGTCATTTACACCTCAATAAGAGCTGTTAAAAAAAGGTATCACAATTTTAATAAAACTTAATGACCTCAAAAGGTCACTCATAATCTTTCACTGACTACATGACCAAAATGTTGGGAGAATTCACAACCTGTATGTCCTTATACTTCAATTTCTGGCTAGACTGGCTTTAATTATTTGATGATAGGTAATTTGGTGATGATGATGGATATGACAAGGAAACAAGTGAGGGGACACCATGGCATGGGAAGGGGTGTCGGAAAATACCGGCCTCGCTAGCACCGCTACTGCTTAAAGGCCTTGCTCGAGTATACTTCAGGATTCTAGTGGTTCATCTGTGCAAATTTTAGGCAGTCCTTTCAGTAATCACTAACAGCACACATACGCAATTCTTTAAGTGCAATTTGTGAAAGCAAATTCATTTGACCGAAGGGTAACTGCAAAGAAAGGAATATACACTCATTCAATCTTTTCACAAGAGGACTGCGGTGACAGCTGATGCCACACAAAGCCCGTCTCAACTGTGAAGTAAACCTAAAGGCACCACTTCAAACTTTTTAAAGGAACACCGGGGAAGGTCAGCCAGGACCACAGCGGGGTTGTGGGACCCAGCCGTTTGTACGGGGAATTGCATGTGCACCTTCTCCCCACCTGTCTTCCATGGAGTCCTCTCTTCTGTACGGCGAGTTCCTGATTGTTATCTCCATGCGGTGGTCCCTCAGCTCCCCCTCCTCAAGGGAATCCCGCTTGGAATCCCGGTCATCAGACTAAGAAGCAAGGAGAAAGTCATTTCCTCACAGATAAAAGTCTTTTAAATGATAATCAAACCTTGCCAGCATCCAGAAACAACGTTTCTTGTACACTTTGAATGGATCAATGTTACGAGGTATAAAAAGCTTTCACTCAAATCGCATTAAAATCACAACTCTCTATAACCCAGAACCTAAGGTGAAAAACTTGAAATCCGCAAATACGACAAGGAATATTAGACTCTATGCCAAGTATGTTAGTTGTTTATATAAGCCAAATAGGAGCCTTAAACCACATTTTATACGCCAAATACTTTGTGACACCTCGTACAGTACTCAGAAATAGTTAACAAACGTCAGCTCCTAAGATGAACAGAAACAAGTACTTCTGTTCATACTCTGTATCAAATTACCAAAAGTTTCTCTGATTATGTTATTATGCAAACCAGAAACCCCGCAAAACACGACTATTAATTTCGAGGCAGCCTCCTACTATACTAGACATACTTGGAAACACTATCACGGACACAGAAATGATGATATGAGAAAAATTAGTCCAATTGCACTAATGAATTCAGGTTCAAAGTACTTTATTCTCCGCGGAGATCCTGAATCTACACACAGCTTTAGTATGTTATCAATTCGTCTTCAACGTAAACTGAGTATCTGAATGTTTTTGTTAATTTTTAGAATAGATTTTGGGCTCACCTGCGACATTTGGAAGTACAAAAGAACTTCACCGAAGAAGCGTTGTTCTAATGGAAAAACGAGGGCAAAGAAATTAAATCTCCTTTAAGAAAACCACTTACTTAAAAAACATGGCTTACATTTTTTAAGCGTTTTATCTCTGCTTTCTCCTCCTGTTCCTTCCGTCGTTTCTTTTCCTGAAGAATTTCATCTAAAGTTTTCACTTTCCAAGAGTCCTTTTCATCACCCATTTGAGTCAAAACGCTGCAAAGAGAAAGAAAACTCGAGCCAGGGCGGGATACACAGCGAGGCTTCGGGGCGCCGCGGTGCGAGTTTTCCCAGACGGGGAGGCCCGGGCTCCGCAAAGCGGCTGCTATCGTTCTCGGGCAAGTTCCTTCGCCTCAGTTTACCCTTCCGTTACAGATAAGAACACCGCCCCGCAGATCAGCACCGCTAGGGAGGGAGATCATCCGTGTAGAGCTCTCGGCTCAGCCCCGGAGACCCCACATACACGGGGGTCGCGTTCAGGAGGGTCTACCGGGCAGACTGGCCGCGGTCCCCGTCACAGCGTACGACGCGGCCGGGGCACCGGACCCCAGAAGCCCCTCGGGCTCGGCCGCTACGAGTCGGGGTTCGGGCCGCAGGAGCTGGCTTCGGGCGTCCTCGCCCGACGCCGCCTCAACTCCCAGCTCCGCGCGGGCCGAGGGGGAACGAGGAGGCGGGAGGCGATGCCCAGGGTCCGCCCGGATCCGAACGCTCGCCGCCCGGCCCCGCCCTCCGCCACTCACCCCTGCGCCTCCGCCGCCACCGGTCCCGGAGCCTTAGGAGAAACAGCGCCCGGCGCGCGCCAGTAACGTCGGCACTTCCTGCGTCGGCGCGGACTGGTGACGCAACGCGGTGGCGCCCGCCGCAGGCTCGGCCCGCACGGGGGGGGGGGCGGTGCCCGGGGCGCGTACGTCACTTCCGGTCCGGGCGCCGTCCTCGCGTGCCGCTCGGAGTTTGGGGCTGCGGCCGCCTGTGTTGCTGCAGTTGGCGCCGAAGGTTCGGCCAGGGTTCTAGAAGAGCGTCCCGTCTCGCCACCCCGTCCCCCTCAGGCCGCGGGAACGTGGTGAACCAACGAGCTGCAGCCCAGGGAAGACGGTGGGAGACCGACATTCGTCCGCGTTACCTGGATCTGAAGTGGGAAATCCGGAATGTGACAAATTCGGGCACAAAAGGGGCCAGTGGCATTATTTCTTTTCCTCCCCACGATGAAATGTTTACTTTCTGAACCCACACTCTTACTCTGCTTCCTGAGCCCTTGGTGACAGGGAAACCTTCATTCTTTTACACTCTTCAGGCTGAAAACGGCGAAGGCGACAACCCCCCTCCCGCCCCCTCCCCGCCCCGCGACCATTTCAGTAGCACAGACTCTCCCGTTACAGCGAAGACAGCGACAGCGGGCACGGTAACGTTTATTGTATTTTTGGAGAACCAGAGTCCTAGGTAGTTGCTACCACAGTGGCTTAATTTAGACAAAAATAGCCAAGAGGCGTCAGTTTATTACCACAGCAGACGTAACAGTGACTCACTAAATTACTTGACATCCATTTTCTAGAAAGTACTGAGCTACCCAAATACTGAAACAGGTGAAATCCAAAAACACTATACACACTTTGTACAATGCACGTGCGGTTCTCCACAGTTTTGTTTGGTATGAAGCAGATGTCACTTGGTTCTTACGTGGTTAACTACTGATAAAATTTCAAGTTTTTCAGTGTGGGGAAGTCACCTGTGACCCTCCTCGTGGATCCCATAACACTCCCTGGGCAGGTTCAGACACAGCTCACACATCTGCAAAGACTGGAAATCACCAATCAGGTGAATGCAGGTTTTACTCAAAACAAAAAAAGACAAGGAAAGATTCTACTAGTTAGGACAGTTTCCACTCCGTCCGGAAATCTGGTCATGGATCCAGTGGCCATCAAACTCCGAATCAGAACCCTCAGGAAAACTGGAGGAAACCCTTCAAGGACAGCAAAGTTGAAGGTCTTCCTCCTGAGCTGGAGGGTGGTCAGCACCACCTCACCTCTGCTCTTGGCTCATCAGCCAGGACACAGGGAAATAGGCAGATTCACCAGGGGAGCTGGGACATTATTTGTAAACTAAGGAAATGAAGAGGCCTCAACCAGAGCATGTATGGATTTTGTGAAAGAATAAAGCCCTTAGTATGACATTGGTCAGAGGCAAAAAGAGAAGAGTTCTATCTGCAGTAGCATCCTTGTTTAATTTTTCCAAGCCAGGGAAACTGAAAATACTCCAGGCCTTAGGAAAACACATCGCCCAGACAGATGTAAAGAGCCATGCTATCCATCTGTCCTATCTACTGGCCTGCCCAAGTGACCACTCACAAGCAAAACCCACTGGTTTCAGGAAAATGATTTCCAGCATGGGCTGCAAGCACAACTCCATTGGATTCTTTGTGCAGTATTTTCCCACTTTGGATTCAGCATGTCTATTTTTTTCAAATTAAAGACACATTTTTGGGTTGTGCAAGAATATCCTCAGCTTTCCAGGGCAGATTATTTTAATAATGATAAGCAGGAAATTATGACTACTGAAATTAAAACCAAAAAAAAATCTTTTTATGCTATTCATAGTGGAAGTTTCCTTGAAAGGCAGACATATGTACATTTGGAAGTATCAATGTAGATAAGCAGATGAGCCAATGTGATACCTGTTTGAGGTGTTTCTTTACAAAGGCACGGACAGTGACCACGGACACAGGAAATGACCCATGTAAGTGACAACACCCAGTGTCAACAATGAAACAAGCATGTCTGCAACGTACTCTAGCATTCTAAACATACTATAAACACTACTACACAAGTTAATAGAAAAACAGATATCTGTACATTCGTTAAACAAATGGCCAAGACAGGCCATGGGTTTGTCTCCTGGCAGGGCTGTCCTGGAAATGCAGCTTCAGGGCGGAGACCTAGAAGAAGGAATGTCAGCCCCAGGCAAGGGCAGTGCTGGCCACAGCTTGTGTTCTTAGGAAATGTTTCAAAAGCAGTTTTGTTGGAAACTACCTCATTTGCTAATAATTTAGGAAAATCTTCATTTTGTCTCTGATCCAAGAATTTGGAAAATCAAAACCGGCAGAAAACCACGTGTGACAGGAGGCGGCGCACATGTGGTGTGCAGGGTACTTGGTTCCACAGGAGACGCGGACCTGGGTCCCTAACGAGGCTCAGAAGCAGGTGCTGTCTATCCGGTCACTGAGAAGACGATGTCTGTGAGGCCAGCGTGACAGTCTTGCAACAGGATGACCACAGATGTGTCCCTATCTCTGCTCACGTCCCGTCAAGCAGCTGGCCGCAGCAGCCACATTGTTGAGGGCAGAGGCAGGGCCCCGTGGAAGCTGTCCTTTCCCACTGGGCCTCACAGAGCCAGCGCATCCCGCTGCCCAGGCCGCCTCCAGTGAGTCCTCTTCGGTGTTATTTGTGGAGGAAGCATGTTTTTTGTGAAGGAAGCAGAGAGGAAAGGGGATAGAAACCTGGGGAAAGTCTCAGGAGAAACATCTTCACAGTGGAGGTGAGCTTGGCATGCAGGCGAACACACACCTGCCTGTCCTCTGGACACAGGAAGTCAGCTTCAGAAAAAGGGCCTCAGTTTTAAAGGCCTCAGTTTAACCCATCATCATGGCAAACTTTTTCAAGTAGGCAGAACTTAATGAGACTTAATTATTGCTCTTTGTTTCCAAGAGATTTGATCTCCAGGCGGGCCTTTTTATACATTTTCCTGTTGACAAGCCAACTGGAAAACCAGAGAAAAGATGATGGGAGCCAAGGACCTGAATGACGGGGGTGGGGGTCAGATGAGGGAACCATCCATGCCTGAAGCGCTCGTGTTGGCTGGTTCACTCAGCCGCAGCGGGCACGCCGTGTGGCCGACTTCATCCTCCCTGTTGGGCTGCACGTGACACGCCCCAGCGCTTGAGCCTGGTGCCGCCGAGAGGCACTAAAGCCTGGCTGGCAGCGGATGTCCCCCGAACAGAAGCCTCAGCAGGACGGAGGATGAGGAACAGGGTGAAGAGGTCAGGGGCTTCGACCCGACACCAGGCTCGGACGCCCAGCGTGGTGGGTCCATCGCTCTAGGAGGTGAGAGCCAGGCTGAGCCGGGCTGTGGGTTCGGTACGGGTTACCTGCCGTACAGGATGCCTTCCAGAAGCCACCCGCGCCTGGGTTTCCTTCTCTAAAAACTTCGCAGTCGTTTTAAATGCAGTGTGACAAAATCTGTAAACATTCCACAAGTTCTTCGCAGCCCTCCCGCCACTCGTTCATTCATGAGAGAAAACCTTAACACCGTTGTCCTGGAGGCCAAGTATGGTGTGGCTCCTGACCCTGCTGCGTGATGACAGGGGCACCTGCAGGGAACCACTCAGAACAGCCTGTTAGACACAAAGGCCCCGAGAACAAGAGGGAGGGTCAGCATAGCCCCATCCTGAGGTCAACACCACAGAGGGCTGTCCTCCACCCCCGGGACCAGCAATCCCCACAGCGGGGGCCCTGACGGACGCCCCGGCCACAGGTGAGGGTTGGGATTCTGGGGGGGTGGAGGGCCCAGTGCAGTGGAGACCCTGAAAGGGGTGGGGCCCCTCCCTTCTGCAAGTGGCCTTTCCCTAAGTGGTGTCGGATGCTGGCAGCTTTGGGGCAGGAAGGCAAGGCCCCTACATCCTGCCCTCAGCAGCAGGGACCCGGATTTCTGTGCCCATCTGATCTCCCGCCACTCTCCTGGCCCTGTGGTCCCTCGGCTGCTGTGGCCTCCGGCCCTTTGTCTCAGCAGAGCAGTCTCCCCAGATGGCCTGAGAGCTGAGTGTGCCCTCACAGGCCTCTGATGGCCGACACCGGGAAGCTGAGCGCTCTGCGCTGGCCCCGAGCAGCGGGCAACAGTGCCTGCTGGCACCTGGACGCAGCTCTCGCTTCACAGGGGTCCCCAGTACCTGTGACACATGGAGGGAATGAGGGCCTGGCCTGGCTGCACCCAGACCTGCGTGCTGGTGACGGGGTGCACGGGCCGGCTGGGAGTCCCAGCCCCCTCCATGTGCTCAGTACAGGGTCAGCAGGAGGCAGATTTCACATTATTTGGCCGTGGCTCAGCAGCAGCTGACTCTGGTTCCACCCCAGGAGCCAGACATCTGGGATCCCTTTTCGAGCCCCCACTGGCTTTCGCTGAAAACCCGAAACAGGAGCAGAGAAGGTGGCACATCCCTTAGCCTCCTGCACCCCACTGACCCAAGGAGGCCGGGTGTCTGCATCGGTGAGGGGGGACAGCAGCAGTGGGCAGCACCTTGGGGCCCCGGGCACCTGCGGAGGCTTCCAGAGCTCAGTGGTGCACTCTCGTGTCCTTGGTGGTCAGTGGCTCCACTTCGTCCTCCGGCGTTCGGCTGGCGGCGACAGCCAGGCTCTGCATGGCCTCCCGCTGGCGCTGCTTGGCTTTGTTGTAGAGCAGGACGCCAGCCGTCACCAGGATGGTGCCGATGGCTGACAGGCTGGTGACTCTGTTGCCAAACACGATAATACTGAGCCAGATGGACAAGGCGTGCTTCACTGTGCTGGCGACACTGCAATGACAGGGGGTTACGGCCCGCGCTTGGCCCGCCGCCCGGCCGGCACAGGCCAGGGGCTCCCTTGCCGGCTCCCTCCTGCTTTCTTGTCATTAGCAAAAATGTCAAGTGGAGACAGAGGAACATATTATAATGAGCAGCCATAGTCCCATCTTCTAGACTTAATTAACATTTTGCTTTATTTGCTTCATCATTTTTTTTGGACTGAAATACTTTTAAGTAAATTGTAGACATGAGATTCTACCGCAAATAGTTCAGCTTGCCGTCTAAAGAACAAGAGGGCGTCGTGCACACTTACAGCAGGGACAGCACTGCGGCGAGGCCTGGACCCCGTAAAAATGAAGTCAGAGTGGAACACCCTGGAATGTTAGCAGTGCTAGTGTCCTGGGATAACGCATAACTTCCTCTTTACTTTTGGAACTGTTCTGCCTTTTCCCAATTTCCTGTAATGAGTAACTATTGCTCTTCTGATATGAATAAAACACACACAAAAAACTATTTTCTTTAAAAAGAATTGTTTTTTTGGGGCGCCTGGGTAGTTCAGTCGGTTGATCGTCCAACTTTAGCTCAGGTCATGATCTCACAGTTCAGGAGTTTGAGCCCCGCGTCGGGCTCTCTGCTGGCAGCTCAGAGCCTGGAGCCTGCTTGGGATTCTGTGTCTCCCTCTCTCTCTGCCCTCCCCTGCTCGTGCTCTAGCTCTCTGTCTCTCAATAATAAATAAACATTAAAAAATAAAAAAAAGAATTGGTTTTCTGCTTTTTGCCTTTCGTGAACCATCGCTAATGATCACTGAAAGACAACATTTCAGGAGTATCTGGAAATAATTCCCGGCCCCAAATGGAACCCAGGACATATGAGAGAGACAGTGACCACCATGGGCTTCAGAAGAACTTAGAAATCATGGCCGTTCTCAACATTCCCGCAGACCCTTCCCGTTCAAGACCCAGGAGATGGGAGGGTCGCACGGGTCGTAGTCAGGGCACCATGCCGGTGCCACTTGTGCCTGCGTGTGGCGGTGCTGCCCCTTGACTTCTGAGCTGTAGAATGTGGCCGGTGCGCAGCACGGCTGCTGTGCTGACTTGGGCCAGACCCATGTGGGTGGGAGGAGTGGTGAGAGCCACCCCAGAGAGGCCGTGGGGACACAGAGGCATGGCTGGCGCGGCTCGACGAGCCTTCCAAGCAGTGTGGTTCTGTGAGGCCACTTCTCAAGTTAGAAAAAGAAAGGTCCCCCTGACGTACATGACACGATGTGGGCAAAGCTGATGACACAGACTTCCAGGCCTCCCGGAGGCGTCGGCTCGTGCTTTTCTGCTCGCTACTGACAACTGTCCAGGCAGGGAATAGCGCTCTCGTTAAACTTCTCCCGTTACCGAAATGAAGAGAAGCCAGTGAGGCCTCTGGCTCACCTCAGTCACCAGAGCTGTGCCTCCAGCAGGGGAGCCAATGGCCATGTGCAGCTACTCAAATTTAACACGTTTAAGGGGCGCCTGAGTGGCTCAGTCGGTTAAGCGGCGGACCTCGGCTCAGGTCATGATCTTGCAGTTTGTGGGTTCAAGCCCCACGTTGGGGTCCATGCTGACAGCTCAGAGCCTGGAGCCTGCTTCAGATTCTGTACCTCCCTCTCTCTCTCTCTGCCCCTCCCCTCCCTGCTCACGAACTGTCTCTCTCTCAAAAATGAATAAACATTAAAAAAATTTTTTTGAATCGCTTAAAATTAGATAAAATCAAGAATTCCATTCCTCATTGTACTCACTACACTTGAGGTGCCCACCACCTGAGGCACATGGCTCCCCCACTGGACAGCCCAGAAGCAGAACATTCCAGCCTCACAGGCAAGTCCACGGACATGCTGTTCCGCACAGAAAAATACCTGTACCGCTCCAAACGCTTGCTGTGCTAACGTGTAGATTCCTGGTGGGGAGTCTGGCACACTGCATTTCAAGCAGCACCAAGACAAAACAGCCTGGTCATCACAACACGGGGCCACAGTCCTCACCCTAGCATTTTACAGTCATAAATGCCCTTTGTAAAAACACCTGGATTTAGATTCTCCTCCGCAAATGAGCTGGATACACTTTGTGTCCGGGAGGTCACCGTGCTCACCTGAAAGTGACGGGGGAGATCTTGCCCATGAGGGCATAGGCCGTGACACTCTGCAGGTGGAAGAGGACGCCGTCCAGCAGCAGCAGCAGCACGACATCCTGACTGTAGCTGAAGCTGCTCCCGCTGCTCCCCATCACCGGCAGGTCCTGTGTGCCGGAAGGGAAACGACGCCCTGTGGGGGCCCGTCTTCCTTCTATGATCACCCTCAGGAAAGCACGGGGCCGCACATGCCCAGTGACCTGGGTAAATGAACTGATGTTGAGGAGTGCTCTGAAAGGAGCCTTCTAGGGGACAACCAAACCTCTAACCAACATTTTGAACATGCGACCAACAGGCCCATGAGAACGTGCTCAACATCACTGATCACCAGGCAGATACAAACCAACAGCACAATAAGGCCACCTCATGCCCACCAGGATGGCTGCCACCAAACACAAAAAGTCAGAGGCACCCAGGGGGCTCAGTCGGTTAAGCGTCTGACTTCGGCTCAGGTCATGATCTCACGGTTCGTGGGTTTGAGCCCCGCGTCGGGCTCTGGGCTGACAGCTCAGGGCCTGGAGCCTGTTTCAGATTCTGTGTCTTCCTCTCTCTCTGACCATCCCCTGCTCACGCTCTCTCTCTCTCTCTCTCTCTCAGAAATAAATAAAACACTTAAAATATTTAAAAAAGTTAAATTAAATTAAAAAATAAAATAAAAATGACAAGTGCCGATGAGGATGTGGAGCAGCTGGAGCCCTGAGCACGGCTGGAGGGGACGTAAGATGTGCAGCCGATGTGAAGACAGCCTGACTGCTGCTCAGAAAGGTTAACAGAGAACTACTGTGAGAACCAGCACCCCCGCTTCTGGGTACGTGCCCCAGAGAACTGAAAGCAGGGTCTTGAACTGGTGTGCACACACCCACGTTCACAGCAGGACGGGCCACAAGAGCCGAGATGTGGGAGGAACCCAGGTGTCCATTAATGGATGGATGGACGAACAAAACGTGGTCCCAAAACACAACAGGTATCAGTCAGCCTTAAAAAGGAGGAAACGCTGGCCCCTGCTACGCCATGGACAGACCTTGAGGTCCTCATGCACAGTCAAATAAGCCTGTCCCCAAAGGACAAATCCCACAGGATTCCACTTACATGAGGGACCCAGAGTCATCAGATCCACTGGGACAGAAAGCACAGTGCAGGTGCCAGGGGCTGAGGGGGGCGGTGAAGGAGTTCGCAAATATGCCACTTTGGCATCAGGAATTTTGGGGGCTAAAGACCCTTAACAGTCAGCAGGAGCAAGAAGGGCTCTGAGTCCCTTTCTCTCCCTGAGAAGCAGGGACGAAGGCCCACGTGGAGGAGGCCCACGCAGCAGGCGGGAAGAAACGCGCTCATCGCCAGGTACCCGGGTCCGGCGGACCTCGTTCAGGTGGCCCCCATCCGCCTGCACCCCCCACCCGGCCTGCTCTTCCCAGTCGCCTCTCCCTGCTCAGCCTGGCACACGGGCGCTCCGGTCTCGGTGCCATCATGAGGCTCCCGTGCCACATGAAGCTTGTGTCGATCAGGCTGTGGGCTTGTCCCCCGAGAACCGCCCAGCCGGCCACCCCACAGCACGGAGAGGGGAAGTCTCGCTTCCCCTCCGGGGGAAATGGGGAATTCACGTTTAACAGAGACAGAGATTCAGTCTGAGATAATTAAAGTCTGCAAATGGATGGTGAGGATGGTTACATGAGTCCGTGAACATGCTCGACGTACACTTTAAAGTGGTTAGAATCATAAATTTCACGTTTACGTACATTTTTCCACAGCACACTTTTAGATATGTACATTCTTTTAATGGTTCCAATCCCAAAAGTGTATCCCAGAAAAACACCTTTTTTTAAAAAAGGTAATTTATTTATTTTAAAATTTTCTTTAAGTTTATTTATTTTGAGAGAGCGAGGGGAAGAGAGAGAACAAGTGGAGAAGGGCAGAGAGAAGGAGAGCCAGAATCCTAAGCAGGCCCCGAGCTGTCAGCACAGAGCCTGATTTGGGGCTCTAACTCACAACCCTGGGATCATGACCTGAGCTGGGATCAAGACTCAGACGCTTAACTGACTGACCGGGTGCTCCCACCCAGGAAAAGCACCTTTCTCTGCTAAAGACACAAGAACTTCCTGTTCCAGGTGAAATGCACCAGGCAGTCAGGTGTCTGTCAAAGTGGCGGTGACGGATCATGGTACAGCCAGGCTCCGGAGCACAAGTATAGGACAGAATAGCGTAAAAAAAAAAAAAAAGAAAAAGAAAAAAAGGTCTGCACGGACACACGTGCATTTATAAGACTGGTGGGATCACACTACACGCACGTGTGTCTGAGTGTATTTCTAGCCACGCAGACCTGTCTGGAAAGGGCTTTGGAGGAATGGGCCCAGACGGACCTTCTCTCTCGTTCACGCACTCCTGCCCTGCAGGCTGCCCTGGGCAGGAATGCGTGACTTTAAAATAATAATAGGGGCGCCCGGGTGGCTTAGTCGGTTAAGCGTCCGACTTTCGCTCAGGTCATGATCTCGCGGTTCGAGGGTTCGAGCCCCGCGTCGGGCTCTGTGCTGACTGCCAGCTCGGAGCCTGGAGCCTGTTTCAGTCTGTGACTCCCTCTCTCTCTGACCCTGCCCTGCTCACGCTGTCTCTATCTCTCTCTCTCTCTCTCTCCTATAAATAAAAAAAAAAAAATAAAATAATAAAATAAGCCGAAAAACCCTCACACGAAGATTTCAGGAAACCCCCTCGGCTACGGCGTGGCCTCCTGGGGCCCCAGTTCGGCTCCCACCGGCCACCCCCCCCCTCAGGTGCGCCTCGCCAACCCTTCATGAACGTGCCCGACGCCACCGCGCCACGAGCTACCCACGGGACCCAGAGAGCCTGGGCGCCGGGCGGCACCTGACACTCACCAGGAAGAAGGCCCAGGCGGGCACCAGCATGACCACGGCGGCCGCGCTCGTGTAGAACTGGAGCTCCGTGGCCCTGCAGGGGCGACACCCGCGCCTGGCGCTCTCCCCGCTCAGAACCCAGCACTCACCCCGAGAACGCTCTAGGGAACCTGCCAGTCTGTTCCGTCCCGGGGCCACAGGGAGGCCCACGTGTGACGGCCGGCCGCGTGGCTGGCACGCGTCACAGGGCAGCCGCGAACGAGCGGGCCGTGCGGTGCCTCAGCGGGGCAGCTGGAAACGGGGGGCTTTTCTTCCAAGTTCCCACAAAGCACTTTTACTTGTTTGTTTCTTTACATTTCTTTATTTTTTAGTAACCTCTCCACCCAGCATGGGTCTCAAACCCACGGTCCCGAGATCTAACGGTCGGGGGCTCTTCTGGCCGAGCCAGCCAGGCGCCCCCCCCCACAGAGAACTTTTAAAAGCCACTGAAGCCGAAGGGGGAAAGCTGTCGGGTCTACAGGAGATTCTGAAACTTCAAATGGGCAGGGAGGCCTCTCAGGCCTAGGGAATTGGGAGTTTCACGGGCTAACGATACTTACGAGAACCTGTATTTGTCCCCGCTGAGGAGCTTTTTTGAAAAAACGTTCTGCAAACTGGAATAAAGAAAAGAAGAGGTTACCGGCGATGTGAGAAGTGAGCAAGGACCTCGGATGGACCGCGTGTTTGCACTCTCCCTCAGCGGTGACAACGATGGCAGCCCCTCGGGGACGGGCCCTGCACGTCTGCTGCGAGCTGGGTTCACGCTGAGTGGGGGGCTCCTGGCTGTCCCTTCCCTGTGAGGGGGCACCAGGCCTGGCCCCTTTATGAAATGGGGCCTCGTGGGAAAGACATTCCCTGCACATCTAAACAGACTCATTATTTCGCAGGCATGTGTGTGCCGTATGAGGAGGTGGTCACAAGGTCCAGGCTTCTGAGAGCCCCCGGTGCTGCTATGGATGCCCATGGGGCCACGCAGAGGGAGCAGAGCACACCCCTCATGAAAGCCACTAACTTCTACTTTAATGCAAAAGCAAGTAGCTACTGAGCCTTTCCACGGGAGAACAGGGACCGAATGCAGAATGAGCCTGTATTCAATTTCTAGGAGCTACAAACGCAGGGAGGAAAAGCCAGAAGGAAATCCATCTGTATGTCAGAAATGAAATCAAAGGTGACTTTTAAGTGTTTACTTGGCGGTGGTATGGAAATCTCAGGGTGAGCCTGTCCAACTTCAGCTGTAAGGCAATGACACACTCCTGGACATCCGTACGGCCATTTCCTCTCCTTCCCAGAGACAGGAGAGACCTAGAAGCAACCGGTAATTCTCAAAGAGCAGGTCCAGCCGAGACCGAAGTGTGGACTTCAACACTGCAGCCTGGATACAGGATGAAGGCTCTACGCCAGCCAGGGAGCAATCTGGAACACGACATCCAGCCCTTTCCTGCCGCAGGACTAGGGCCCTCCCGCGTGGTGCTTTTCCTTGGGCACCTGGCACGGGCTCCCCGGTGGGCATGGCCTCCCACGGCCCTCGGGGCACAGCCACCAGCCCAGAAGCCGCCCCTCTGCTCCTGCTGCAGGGTGGCTTGGCTGAATGATACACATTTACCCATGAGGGTCGAGCCGCGCGAGCTGTGCATTTGGCCTTTGTTAGCTAACCGTGTCCCGAAGATGCGTGTTCTTAATACCAAGACCACGTGTTGTCAAATCCTGGCTGGTGTTTTGAGAAAAGGTTACCCTACCTGGACACGAGGTGTTCTGGTATTTAGGAAAAGGCAGCATCCAATGTGCCTGGCTTTGAGTTATGGGGTGTAATTCTGAGTCAATCTGGAGTTAAATGCCCATCGCCCCGATCACACCACGTGTCCCCACGCTCTTCCTGACTCACCAGTCCATGATGTTGGTGGACAAGGCAGCCGAAAACCCCAGGATGTTGAAGCTTATCTCCGTTGCTGTGCACAGCGCCAGGCCTCCCATGACGGGGACGAGGGAGAGGTTGACCAGCAGCCCTGGAAAGGGCAACACACACAAGGGCCATGGCTGTCAGCCAGCAGCAGGTGCCGACGTACCCTGCAGCATCTCTCCCGGGCGCTAACTTTCACTTTAATTCGAAAACATGTAGGTACTGAGTCTTCACCCTGGAGAAATACAGCGGATCACAGTGCACAGCTGCCCCACGCCCGTCGCCCTCTCCCAAACCTGGCGCCACACGAGCCCTTCCTCACTGAGGCGCGTCTGCTGGGCCCGGGGGGCAGGACACGCGAGGCTGGGGCCCTGAGCCCCGAAGCATATCCCTGCCCGGCACTGCAGTGGCGCAAATTCTCGCTCGAGGGTGATGAGGATGGATGAATGGTCTCCTGACCAGTGTGTCAAAAAGGGGAGCAGGGGGTGGGGGGCAGTTTCATGCCCTGGCGCGAGGGTCCCACACGATCTGCCATCTATACTCTACGTGGAGGTTACTTCTCTTTGCTACATTCTGCAATCCAGGAAACAAACGTGAGCCCAGGTAAAAAAGCCCACTGAGCACATGGAAAGGCACAGCCTCTTTGGGAACAGGGTGTGGGGGCCTCCTGATGTTTTGATTTCAGATACTATTTAGTTACTTTAAAAGTCAAAAGAGACGAGGGAAAGAGTCTTTGGTGTTTGAGGTCCACATTGACCTTTGGAGACGAAGGTCCCCTTCCGGCACAGGATAGCGCTGTCCAGACAGGTCCCCAGGGGCCGCCAGCGCCCCCTCGGCTCTGCAGCACGTGGTCTCGCCCCCTGGTCGGCCTGGAAACGCGTGTTGCATGATGGACGGTCTGTGTGGATCCTAGAGGGCTGGTGGCCACAAGTGCCGTTTCACCCTTAGAAGGACCTGCTTTCGCTGCTGGGAGGCATCCGCAGGCATCCACGAGCTCGGGGTCCGGGGCGAGGGCCAGGGCTTTGCTGGGGAGCCCCGCCCCCCGGCAGCCCTGCCTGCCCTCGGCCCCGCAGCCCCGCAGTCCGATTTGCTGGGGCTTACGGAGGATGGAGAAGTGCAGCTGAGAAGCAGTGACAGGCAGGAAGCTGTCGGAGGAGCCGAGGAAGGACACAGAAGGTGGTCTTCCTGGGACAAGGGACTACTACTTCCTTCCCCAGCCCCCACGCCCCCACCAACCAGGCGGCCTCTGCACGTCTGGCGGCCTTGCACACAGCCGGGGCGAACACACGCTTGCTGAAGTGAACGCGTGAGGCACTCGTGACTGGGCTAGGAGAACGTTCCGGGGGTAGGTGAATCCGTTCACCTCGGGGCGGCGCCCCGGCCCCCCACCAGGCAGGCTCACCCGTGTACTCGCCCAGGATCATCCGGGACATGATCACGGTGAAAATGGGAGCAGAGCTCTTCACCGTCTCAGCAAAGGAAACCGCCACATTCTTCAGGCTCACCAGACCCAAAACCACTGTTGCAAACCTAAAAATAAGCAGAAATGTCATGAGGATTGAGGAGTCCATTCGCAGCTGCACAGCAGACGGTCCGAGGAGCTGGTCGCTCTCCTCCCCCCTTCCCCGCCCTCCTCCCTCCCCTCCTCCCCTCCCGTGAAGGTGAAGTCTCAGGGCCCTGCAGGAAGTAGGTCCCACCTACTTCAGGCCCAGGGAGAGAAGGGGCATGTCTTTCAAACCATCATTAAATTACAGTCATGGCTGTTCCAGAAGGAATCTGATTGCAACCTAATCCTCAAAACCAACACATTTGCGGTGCTAATATCCAGACGGCCTGATGATTACATAAGGTGCGCAATGAAAATACACTGGGATCGCCCAGTTACAGCGTCGGCCAGCTGGTCTCCCACTCTGGTGACGGCAAAGATGTTTTCTGCATGTAAAAATATTAAACTCTCAACCAAAATGTCGGATTCCTTACCTCATCAGACCCACGAACAGCATGATCATGATGAAATTGGGTGGGTAAGAAAGCCGGGTTTTGTGCTGATATAAACAGCAAGGAACAAATATTTTAATGCATCCAATAAACGTAGTTGACAACATCTGCACGGCACCTGAGGAGGCAGAGAAGGGCACGTTCTGAGGGGAGGAGCGTGTCCCCCCGGCGCGCAGGCAGGCGGGACGTGCCATCTGTGCCGCAGACACGGCTCGCGTCCCGACCCCCGGGCGCCCTCCTCCCCGAGCCTCCCGCGTGGACACAGCACTGACCCGTAAGCACGAGGGCTTGGCCCTCGGCCCTGGGAGTGGGGGCCCGCGTTACCTAGCATGCTGGGCTCCCCTTCCAGCAGGGACAGGATGTACTTGTTGAGGAAGAGGGTGCAGAAGCTGAAGAAGAACCAGAGCGTCAGGTAGAGCAGAGCCCGGGAGCTCCAGACGCCCAGGTCCGACTCGATGACAGTGGTCTCGGTGATGGTGATGGTGAGCACGTTCTCCTCGGGGGCGCCCTCGCTCCTGCTGAAAACAATCTTCTCGCTGCGGGGGCCGAAGAGAGAGGCCCAGGTGAGGAGCGGCTTCCCTCTGGACTGCTCCTCGGGGCCGGGGGCCAGCTCTGCCAGCGCCGAGGGTTTCGCTGAGGCTGACATGCTTGTCTCCTCCAGACCGTGGGCAGCATGGGTCGGGCCGGCTCCCGGGTGAAGGCCTGCAGGGAGGGGGGGGCCGGTGGCCGTCACTCGCCCCTCCCCAGTGAGCGCAGGCTCAAGCTGTTAGGGAAAGACAAGGCGTTACTGATGGTGAAACACCTCCATACCCTTACAGGTTCCGGGCACCAATCTGAAGTCCCTCTGAGGACGCAAACACAGAATCTCAGCCTTGCCGTCACACTGCGTGCTGCTCCGACGGCCCCGGAACGACGGGAGCCCCGGCAGCTGCCATCCCTCCTCCCTGAAGTGCTGGAAACCAAAGCCCCCGCGCCTGGCCTTCCCCGGGTACCCACGGCGAGCACTGAGACCCTGGCGACCGCGCCCAGGCCTTGGCCGGCAGGTCCCTGAAGCCATCCCGTCGGCTCTGCTCCTCCCCCCCGTTCTGGGACTGCCGAGTGCTGCAGCGCACCCCTGCTCTCCCGCACCTCACCTGACTTAAAAAAATTTTTTTTAATGTTTTATTTATTTCCGAGAGAGCGAGCGAGAGAGAATGTGAGCACAGGAGGGTCAGAGAGAGAGGGAGACACAGAGTCTGAAACACGCTCCAGGCTCTGAGCTGGCAGCACAGAGCCCGACGTGGGGCTCGAACCCACAAACTGTGAGATCTTGACCTGAGCCGAAGTCGGACGCTTAACCGACTGAGCCACCCAGGCGCCCTGACTTTTAATATTTTATCTGGCTTTTTGAGTTGTTCTTCGCAGGACTGATCTGCCCCCTGCCAGAGATGCTGGGTTTTTAATGCACCCACTGGGTTCTAAATTTTTTTTTAATTTTTTTTTTATGAGAGAGAGAGAGCGAGCGAGCATGAGCGAGCGAGCAGTGGAGGGTCAGAGAGAGAGGGAGACACAGAATCTGAAACAGGCTCTGAGCTGTCAGCACAGAGCCCAACGTGGGGCTTGAACCCATGAACTGTGAGATCACGATCTGAACCGAAGCCGACTGAGCCACCCAGGGGCCCCCACCCACTGTGTTCTAAATTACAGTCACTGGATTTCTCATTTATGACATTCTACTTGGTTCCACCTGAAACTGGTCTGTTTCTCTCATAGCATGTTGTTCTTTGTTTTAATTTAAAAAAAAATGTTTAATGTTTATTTTTGAGGGAGGGAGAGGGAGAGACAGAGTGCACGCAGGGGTGGGGAAGAGAGAGAGGGAGACACAGAATCCCAAGCAGGCTGCAGGCTCTGAGCTGTCAGCACGGAGCTGGACATGAGGCTCAAACCCATAAACTGTGAGATCGTGACCTGAGCTGGATTTGAACACTCAATCGCCTGAGCCCCCGACATACCCCAACTTAAAACAATTTTTATTTTTAAGTAAACTCTATGCCCAACATGGAGCTCAAACTCACGACCCGAGACCAAGGGTCACACGTTCCACTGACAGAGTCTGCCGGGTGCCCCTGGTGTCTTTCTTGTTCTTTCCCAAGCTTTCGATCCCTTCTTGTATCTTGTTTTATGGTCTCTCACAGTTCATTACCTGAGACCTTAGCAATGTCACCCTGATTGTGTGTGTGCCAGCGGACTCTGGCCTTGGGGCCTGTGCTGGTGTGCCCACGGTATTCCAGCAGACCTGATACGTGGGGACCCTGCGCCCCAGGCTGAGGGGTTACCTCCAGAGTGAGGATTTGGGGTCTGCCGCTGCTACATCCCCCAGGGTGTCACTGGCCAGGACCAATTTTATGCTACTTTCTATTTAAAAAACATTTTTAAAAATGTTTTACTTATTTTTGACAGAAAGAGAGACAGCATGAGCAGGGGAGGGTCAGAAAGAGAGGGAGACACAGAATCCAAAGCAGACTCCAGGCTCTGAGCTGTCAGCACAGATCACGACATGGGACTCGAACTCATGAACTGTGAGATCGTGACCTGAGCCGAAGTCAGGCGCTTAACTGACTGAGCCCCCCAGGTGCCCCTTTACGCCACTGTGTAACCCCGCAGATGACTCCCACAGCCCACGAAACCCACACCTGCAGGTCTCAGACCTGAGGGCAGGCTCCTGAGGTGAGCCGCTGGCCTGTCTCCGAAGATCACAGGCGGAGTCACAGCGGGCTTCGGTGGCAGGCTGGCAAGTTCTCCAAGTCCCTGCTTTCAGCAGAGGCCCAGTGACAACTGCCTGCCCCATCTCAGGAGCAGGGCCAGCGTCCCACCCCCTTCCCCAATGACATCAAACTCAGGTTCCCAGGCAGCCTCCGACGGGCTGACCACCCAGATTTCCTGTTCTTTCAGTTTCCTGTGTTTGGGGGACTCAGCTACACATCTAAAAGGACGGCCGTTACATTTCCTCCCCAGCGCCCAGGTGCGGGCAGCAGGGGCGCCCGGGGCGGGGCCACGCAGCCCCTCCAGCGGGACCTGCGCCTCTGCGGCAAGGGCTCCACGTCCCCTCGCACTTCAGACCGTGACGTTCCCGCCCCCGAAGGCTGGCTCCTGTCCGGCCCCCGGGCAGACGACGCAGCACCGGAGACTCGGCCCCGCTCCCCCCCCAGCCCTGCCTCAGCCCCCCGCGTCCCTCCCCACCCGCGAGCCCGCACGCACCCCGCCCCGTCACCTCCCCAGAACGCAGCGCAGTCACAACGGGGCCTGCGCCGCCCCCACCCGAGGACGGGCTCCTCACGGCCTCAGGACGCGGCCCCGCCGTTTGGCTGCGGCGACAGCGCGCGCGGCCGGCCCGGGGCGGCTCTGGCTGCAGGTGAGGTGAGATGCAGGAACAAGGGCCGAGCACCCCAGCGCCAGGGTCTCCCGGCCCCAGCCCCCTGCTCCTCGTCGAGGGAGCGAGGACCCCCTCTGCCCTGGGCCGGGCTGCCCTCCCCGTGTCCCTGCCCCCTGCCGCCTCTGCTGGCCCTGCCTCCTCAGAAAGCCTCCCCTTCAGGGCCTCGGTACCAACCGCGGCCTCCTGAGGGGCCGGTGACGGCATGTGGCACAGGCGCCCTAAAGCCGACCCCGGTTGCAGGGCGAGGGGCTGACGATCCAGAAGCACCCACAGGGCGGGCACTCGCGGGGAAGAACACGCTGGCGGGGAGCGGGCCTCCCTCTGAGGAGCTCGCCGCGCCCCGGGCGCCGCCTCCCGCTGGAGGCCGGGCCGTCCCTGCTCCAGCTCCTACGAAACCACAAGTAACCGTGCGAGTGACACACACCTTCTCTTTGTATAAAGAGCTTTGACAAGAAAGTTGGTTTTAAACGAAGGAGGGCGCGGCTCCAATGCCTCTCGTGCCTGAATCACGCCAGAGCGCACCCCCTCTGCCAACAGGCCGCCGCCCCTGCGCCACGAGCATCCCGTGTGCGTCCTTCCGCGTGTTCCTGCCCGATCTGCGCTCGGGAGCAACTCTGCGTGGTCATGGGCCCCTGTGACGTTCGAAGACCCCAACCGGCACCGGACCACCCCACTCGCCCTCACTCTGCCCCGGAAGGTCCCGGAAGGTCCTACGGGGAAGCCCCCTCCGCGGGCCGGGAGAGGCAGCGACGCTGGCGGCACACACAGGCCCAGAGCTCAAACGAGGCAGCCGAAGGGCCAGCTGGGCTCACACGAGCGAGCACGGAGACTCACGGGGCGGCCCGGGCGCCGGAATGCTTTTTAGCTCCTTGGCTGATTCTCAACTGCGGCCAAACAAACAGAGCCACCACGTAGGGGCCACCCCCCCCAGGCACCCACAGTGGTCACTGACTGTCGCAGGCTGGAAACACCCCAGCCCGGATGGAAGCAGGTTGCAGGCCTCCAGTCTCCGTGCGTGACAGGAAACAAGAAAGAAGAGACCACCCTGCAGGGGTGAGGAGGTCCTGGGGGGAGGGAAGGGGCGTGAGCCCTTCAGGCCCCTCGCACACGTCGCGCCCGAGGACGGGGGTATCACAGCGGTTCTGTTAGTAGCAGAACGAAAGCAAACCACAACCTAAGTGTCTCCTGAAGCAGAGACAAACAGGAGCCCCTGGCGGCCGCGGCGCACAGCAGAGGGACGCGGGGCCGCCGCCGCCGCCGGAGCCCTGGAGCGACCAGACCACGCGACGGAGGGAAATACACAACGGGGCCCCCCCGCAAGGCTTTGAAATATGCCAAGACCCTCACTCTTCTTTATAAACAAAGCTGTCAGAAGTTCTGAGTGGGGAGCAGGGAACTCAGGCCCAAGGTTGTGCAGGGGACACGACAGGGACGCCCGGGGAAAGGCGAAACACGTGCGAAGTGTGTGACCTTGTGAAGGGAGGCGTGTGCTATTTTCTAAACTGTTCTAGAAGCTCCAGACCAGTACGTGGAGAACCTCATGCACCGTGAAGAGTGCCTGTCGCCAGAAGCGGCGTCTCCCAGGTCCTCGGCAGACAGTCCCGAGCCCCAGCACCTACTGAGATGATGCCTGTTTAGACCAGAGCTTCCTCGGTTAGAGCTGAACCTTCCTTTTCATTCTGGATTCAGACTTCAAATTGGACCAGCTGCCAGGGAGGGAGGCGGGAAGCGGGACGGGATGCAGGGCAGCACCTCCTCGCAGAACAGACCTTCCCCAACCCCCCGGAGCCTGCTGTCTGGTCACTTAGAGCCGACCTCAGAGTGTGAGGGTCTCTCCCGGGAACCCGGGGTTGGTACTGGGTCTCTGGCGGTGCCGGGAACTTTCTTTCTGTGCCGGAGGGGTTGCACTTCCCCTCCCCCCACACGCAAGGAGGGCGCCATCAGGCCTGGGGGAGGTGGGGGGGGACACACCAGGTGCTGGGGACCCAGAGGCCCCATTATGCAGACCAGCGGCCAGCACACCAGTGCTCCCGTCCACCACGTCCAGAACAAGGCCCAGGCCGCCCCGGGGCAGACGCCCAGGCCACCACAAAACGCTCACCTTCCAGTGCACTCTCTTTGCAGGCCCATCAACATCTCCACAAACGGCCCACCCAGTCCGGTGACAAACCCGCACGACAGGGGGCACAAGCGGACCCCTGGCCCCACGCCCAGTGGGGGGGGGGGGCTCCCAGCGCACGCGGCTCCCACACCAAGCCCAGATACGAAAACCAGGTCTGGGGCCATCCAGGGCGGAACAGACGCTGGCTCTGCCTCCACCCTTCACATCAGGACTCGCGATCACACCGGGG